TACGTTATATCAAATGAGCTCAACTCTATGGCCCACTTTGTCATTCTTCCTGATAGATTTGGTTTATGCGGATCATCCTTATAGGAAAAGTGGTCAGAACGATGATATAATGGGATTTAAAATAATACCTGAGTTTTCTTTTTTGTATTTACTAATGACAAGATCACTAGTTCGGCCTTTGAGTATCTTCTTTCTGGCTCGGCCATTGTTTTGTTAACGTAGAACACTGGGAACTGCTGATTTTCTTCACAGCGCACCAGAATGGCACTTGTTGCAATACTAGACACACCAAGGTATATAAAAAGCTTTTCACCTGGTTCGGGGGCAGACAGGACTGGAAGGTTCCACATATATTCCTTCAAGCTGGTCAATGCATGTCGTTGCTCATCCACCTAGGCCTGCCTTCCATGGCCTCTTATTGTATTGAAAAACGGTTTGCAACGATCTGACAGCTTAGAAATGAATCGACTCAGTGCGGCTATTCGATCGGTGAATGCTTGCACCTCTCTAACCGTTTTTGGTTTAACATTTTTGATCAGTTCTTCTGCTTAGGCTGGGCTAACTTCAATTCTTCTGTTATTGACCATGTGTCCCAGGAACTGCCCAGAACCCACACCGAATGAGCACTTTATTGGATTAAACTTCATACCATACCTCCTCAGCACCCCGAACACATCTTGCAAATGTTCCAAGTGACTGTCTTTTTTCTTACTCTTGACCACCATGTCATCAATATAAGCCTTTACAGTTTTCCCTATTTGATTTTTGAAAATCTTGTTGACCAGCCTTTGATAAGTAGCTTCAGCGTTCTTTAGTTCGAACAACATAACTTTGTAGCAATAAATTCCTCGTTCAGTGACAAAAGAAGTTTTCTTTTCATCGTTTGGGTCCAGAGGGATTTGGTTGTAACACGAGTAAACATCCAGGAAGGTCAATCGTTCGTACCCAGTGGTGGCATCCACCATTTGATCAATCTTTGGCAGCGGGAAACTATCATTCGGGCATGCTTTGTTCAAATTGGTGAAGTCAATATAGACTCTCCATTTCCCATTCTTCTTCTGCACAACGACTACATTTGAGAGCCAAACCGGAAACTGAATTTCTCTGATGAATCCGACATCTAGCAATGGGCCAATCTCATCAGCTATGATTTGATTGCGTTTTGGGGTGAACCTTCTCTGCTTCTGCCTTACAGGCTTGGCGTTCGGGTCAACATTGAGGGAATGACAAGACACGGAGGGACTGATCCCTGGCATATCTGAATGGCTCCAAGTAAACACATTTGCGTTCTGAGATAGGAAATCAATTAACTGTTGTTTCTCCCTCTCTACAAACCCTAACCCCACCCTTGTTGTTATGTCTGGCATATGAGGATCTATCTATACATTAATGAGGGGCTCTTCGGTAAGAACCAAAGGTTCATCCTCCACTTCAATCGCTTTGGGGGGAGGTCCTTGTGATTGCTATTTGGGATTGTCAGATCGGGCTGGAGCTTTTCCTTTACCAGTAGCTTTCATTGTCACGGAGTAGAATTTTTTGGCTGTGACTTGATCCCCATGGATGTCAATTACATTGCTCCCATCAGGACTTAAACGTCTTATCATCTGGTGCAGAGTTGATGGGACACCCTGGACCTTGTGAATCCATCATTTTTCTATCAAAAGATTATAAGACGGATGGATTTCAACGACCACAAAGCTCTCTATCAGAACTCTTTCAGCAACTTGTACTGGCAACTTTACTATACTAATGGGCTCTACCCGTTTCCCATTGAACCCCAGCAGTGGATTTCCAGTGGGTTTGAGTTTTTCTGGCATGGCATAACATTGGCACTGCTCCATGGATCAATCAGAACTCTGCGCACCAAGCACTCTGCCACTGTCAAACTGACGACCAGATGATCCACATGAGGGATCTGCACATGCAGCAGATCCGTTCTGGTGAACTTTATCTAAACTGATGTGCTCTGCTGGTACAGAGCGGTCACGTTGCCTATCCTTCTCTTCATCTGTGCCTGCTGGAGGCGCATTCGAAGTAGTTCTTTTAACTCCTCAGTCAGCTCAGGTCGGCCAGGAATTGCATTTATTATCCGAACAAGCTGAGCGTTCTGGTAAGTTAACTTTTGATTTCTCTTCACTTGCTCTGCCGGTCGGTTCTACTCCACCGTCGGCCCTTGAACATATCCTGCAAACTCTCCCCTTGCTATCAGCATCTCCACTTGCCTTCTTGAGTTCCTGCATTCGTTAGTCTGATGACCAAAATCATTATGAAAAGCACAATGTTTAGTCTAATATTTCTGTTCAAGAGGTTGTCTAATTGGTAAAGGAGAGCGAAACTTATCTTTATTCTCCTGATATAACCTTGCCAGAGTGACTTTAAGTGGAGTAACCAACTCCTCTTCTCTAGGCCTTTTCTCTGCTTTCTAGAAGGTCTACCGCTGTGGTGGAGCTTGTTTTTACCGGATTTTGGTTTTAGACTTCTTCTCCATAGAGATAATTAACGTATTCCTTGCATTAGCTGTTTCTTTTTCTTCCAAACGCACGAAACCATCAGCTCTTTCGTTCAGCTCGTCCATGGTCTTCGGCGTATTTACCACCAAACTTGTGTGGAACGGTGTCCCTCGATTTATTGCTAGTTTGAATGCTTGAACCGCCGTGGATGGATGACATTTTATTACCATGCTTTTGACGAGGTTAAACCGGTGAGGAAAGCTTGGAGACACTCCTCTTCGTGTTGCTTCATTGTGAACAGACTTGAGACATCTTTGGTCGGGCGCTTGTTCCAATAATACTAGCTTATGAATTTGTCACACGGGTCTTGGAAGCTAGCGACTGAGCCTTTCGCCAAATTCTTGAACCAATTGAGCACTGGTTCGGTCAGGTTTGTAGGAAAACACTTGCATATCAAATGATCATTCTCCGTGTTCAGAGCCATTTTCAATTGGATATGGTAAACGTGATCAATCAGATCGGTCATTCTGTCGAACAGAACGAAAACTGGCATGGAAAACTTTCTCGGATTTGGAGCGTTCAGGATCTCATTAGTAAACGGTGAAGCAACCGTTCGTGCTGACGAACGGAGGGCCTTATTCTCCCTTGTAAACCTTGGGAGAATCCTCTGATCTGCAGATCTGCAATCCGAACCTCTGTAGTCGTACGTAGCCATTGAAAGCCTAGGGTGGATCGAGTGATCTTTCCTCCATGAGCTCTCTCTGCCACGGTGACGTAGCCTTGTGGTGACCAAACTCCATGGCTTCTTCTTACCTCAGCCCTTCTTGATATGGATCGAATGCTATGGCTCCCTCTCGCCTGATCCGTTCACGATACGGATCCAAATGAATAGATCCTTCTCGATCCTCCGCGTGACGAGCATTTGGCGATAAATCGCCTGGCCTGATCTCTTCGCAGTGAAAATCCACGTGATTGTTCCCTTCCTGCTCGCCTTGGTGATCAACATTGGGTTGCAAGCTCTATCTCTTATTGGAGTTGGTCGTGGAATCGCCAGAGCCTCCCGACGCTCAATTCCAGCTCGCAATTCCGCATTCTCTTTTCTCAGGGCTTCGATCATGCTCATCAACTCATCAAGCTTTGTCTGCTGGCCATTCTCCTGTGGATTAGAACTCTCGCCTCCTATTATCGTTCTTGATCGGAGCAGAGTCATCAACCGTGAATTCATGATCGGATCTGACCTCTGCTAATGCCAATGCACTAGATCTGACCTCAAACTAGCTGAATTCCAATCTCTTTCCATCGAATCTAATTTACAATCTGCTGATTCTATTCTTGCCGTGAACTCATCAAATCTAATCTCGGTAAATAGATCGAGATTTTCCAGATCCAATTCCAATTTCTAAAGATCAATTAGAACCAACACTTTGCAAGACAGAATATGATCTCGCTGATCTGAATCCAATTTACAGAGATCAAGCTTCTCCTTCACGAATCAATCTTGATCAAATCAATCTACTTCGAACGCGAATCAAACTTCGACGTTCCCATAGACGGCGCCATTGAAGATGCAAGAAAGATACTCTCTATTTAGAAATAACAATTCTACACCTCAAATTTCAACCCCCTTCCGTCTATTTTCAGTCTATTTATAGACTGTTACAGATCTCCTTGAAGCTTCCTAACTAACTCCTTGCACTGGGCTGCTCTTCTGGGCTCTTATTGGTTATGAACTCAGTTCCTTTTATCTGAAATTGGGCTTTCAACATGATTTCCCGGTTGCTCTTGCCCGACCCGCTCTTAGCAATCTGGATCGTACCCAGCCCAAGTCATTTTTGGTATCCTCAACAATAAATAAATAAATATATATCTATATATTTATGTCCATGTATACGTGTATATATGTCTGTGTATATATATAAATGTATCTTCTCCGGTCTTCCTTTCCCTTCCCTCGACAACTACCAAAATGAAGAAGAATAAAGGCTAAGCCCTTTTTAGTTATTTCACAAAATATATATATTTATATATATATTATAAAATATGTTGCTAAGGGCATTTTAGTTAAATTTTTATAAATATTTTGCACTTGACCGGTAGTAAAATTGCAAAATCTATCCTGGAATCATTAATTTTGTAACATTATTTAAATCTTGTGAGAGTTTGGAAAATATGAATTAATCGATAAATTAAATACTGGCATGTAAATGTTAAGATCGTCTAAAATATATATTGTTTGAAAGTAAAACACATTCAAACATATGATGATTTTATTTCACATTCATATAAAAAGAAAAAAAAAAGGTAGTTGTATCATGTATGCGTCCATTCTCAAATTACTTATTATTATTTAAAAATAAATGAAAATTTCATAAAAAAATAAAAAAGCAAGTGGCACTTAATTAATTTAGCTTTTAAATTTTAATGCATTTAGAATATCGCTGATATGGTATTTCTGACTAATAAAATACGAACACGTTGTGATGATAGGATTCATTGTAATATATTTTTAATTATGTGACAAAATATATATAATTGTTTGTGTGGTGTTTATCTAATTTTAAGAGAGAAACAAAAATAAAAAGAAAGGAAGTTAAAAAACAAAAAAGAAACTGCTGAGGATGAAAGGGAGTGGGCGCTTGATTAATTGAAACCCAGAGGCATGCTTCTGATGCTTCCCCTCTTCTTCGCAGTAGCCTGCGCGGATCGTTTCTAGAGAGAGAGAGAGAGAGAAATTTTATAGAGAGAGAGAGAAAGGGAGAGGAAGGGAATGAGGGGAAGGCAGAGAACAATCTACTTAGGGTTGGCGTTTGTTATGATATTGGGTATTGCCGTCTACTTCAGGCTTTGGGCTATCGATTACAGAATTTCCGTTGATGAGGCCGAATCATTAAGGTATGTCTCTTCACATTTTCCCATCTATTTTCCTCTTCCTTTATTTTCCTCCACTTTCTCTTCTATTTGGCTGCGGATAAAAATAGCAAATAATTATTTAGGTTTTTGATGAAAATTTCATTATTTGCTATTGATTTGAGAAAATGCAAATGAATAAGGATGTTGATTGCTAACATTATCAGTGCATTTCGTAACTTTCAGATTTATGTAATGTAATATTTCCATTCACTTACTTCTTGTAGAAGACAGTTCGATCTTGCTAGTAAGGAAGCAATGGATGAATCTGCATCATGGAGATTGAGATATGATGGGGAAGCGGAAAGGGCTAGCAAATGTGATAAGGAACTGATTCAGGTAATTACTTTCCCTGTTTAGCTCTTCCTTATATCTATATATTATGTATTGTTATTTAAAATATGCAATTTGTATGTTGACATCATCAATGATAAATAGATTATAGAAGTTATCTATATATTTAATATGCATTAGTAATATTAATTGGCTAACTTTTGAGGCATCTAGTAATGCTATTGCTAAGCTTCCTATGCATTTTGTTGTCAATATACCTTTCCCGTGCAAGTTTCCATTTTCACATGCATTATAGCCTTGGTAGCTCGAATATCATAAACAGGGTGCCACTTCCACCCTCTGTTTACCAACTGGTGGATTGAGCTGATCCTTCCCAATCATCAAAATTTAGGAGTGACACTCAATTTTACTCTACATTTTGTAGTCCTAAAAGAATTAACACATAACATCACAAAATTTTATTTAGTTTTTTCATGTGATGCCTTATAATTTGGATCTACTACTTCACGATTGCCATCGCATGTTAGCTTGATTTCCTTGAAGTTGTATGTGAAGAATAGGTCTCTCTAGAAGGAAATATATTTGGAGAATCTGTTTGGGGTTTAGTTGGTTGTGGATATTAGTTATTATTCCACAATCCACATTCTCTTATATTTTTATTTTTACTTTTCATTTATTTATTCATTCATTCTCTTGTTTAAATCAACCACAAATGACAAACTTATTTATTTATTAAATTTTTTATAAGTAACAAACGTATATCTATAATCAAATAACAAACTTGTATAAGTTTGGGTGATGACTTAAAACAATGAGCCCAGAGATGCTCTGTGAAATTCATAATGTATTAAAACTTTTTACAGTGACTCTTTCTATGAAGCCTTTATATGCGTATACTCCTTCCTTATTCACTACAATGAGAGGTGGTGGACTTTTGTAACTAAACCACTGGCACAGAGATCAAATATATATTCTATCTTTTCTTATCTTTTGCTCCTGGTTGATATTTTAATGTTGTTGCAGTTCCATAATTTTCTTCTAATGGGCATCCGTTAAGACTCATCTTGACATCTATGTGACCAGATGATTCTAGTCAAGTGCTTTTGAATATTTGAACTGTTTCTTTCAGAGAAGAATTGGCTATGAGGACTAAGGAGGGTAAATCATGAAAGAATAGAACCCTTAATTTTTCTTATGTGAAAATAGTTATAAGTTAAAATATTCAATTGACATATTAAAGATCTGTTTATCAATATATTTGTTTATATCATGACAACCAATTAATTTTAACCTATATATGCATACACACAGTCATTTGTATTGTTGTTTCCATGTCATATCACCATACTATATATTTTTATATATTTAAGAATCTGTCATTTTTGCGTGTCATTATCCTGTTGCATCTGTATCTCATATCTACGTCTTTGCTCTAATGTTTCCAACACTGGCAGATAAGACAATTTGGATGGTTTCTGAATTAAATCATTAAGAATTTGCCAATATACCTGGTGTTCAGATATTGGAGTGGTTAAGTTGCTGTGTTGGAAGTTGGAATCAAACTTGCTGGCGGTGTTTACATGACAATTTTTATGTTTAAGACTGTCTTCTTCAGTTTTACTCCTTAAAATTGGTAGAGGTGATATATAACATATCTCCCTTATAAGTTTGAATAATCATGTTTCTTCGTGTCAGATTAAGGAGTCTCTAGTGGAGAAAGCTGAGGATGCTGCTAACATTAACAAGAAACTAGAAATGTTGCAAAAGGTATTATATACAACCTGTATATCAGGATTCTTTTTTATTTATTATTATTATTATTGTTATTTTTTATATTTGATATTCAACTCCCTTTATATATCATGGAAGAGATAAAACTTTCAAGAAGGTAAATTTAATCTAGTGATTATTCTATGCACATATTTCAACTCAAATCATGATCTTTTGTTTACAATTTTCTACATTTCCAGGAGAATATGGGTTTGCTTGAACGGGTTGAATACTTAAAACAAGAGCTTGAAGCTGAGAAGTTGAAGTGCAACATGCATTAGATATCGCTGTCATTGGAAGTTTAAAATTGAGCAGATAGAATTTTGTGTTGGGATTTCACCATCGTACCTTTCATGATTTTGATAATATACCATAAACGGACCAATCAGAGGTGGTTGTAAGATGCAAATACTTTTACTGACAGAGTTTGCTTCTTATCAATTTCACCCTGAAAATGGTCTTTTTAGACTGAAATACATGTACTTCACTACAAATCCTCTGTAATTCACTCAAAGCATACTTTCTGATGATCCGTCCTTGGTTATGCTCAAGAATGTAAATTCCTTTTCCTGAAAGAAAAGTATAAAATTCATCTTTTTTTAACTTTTTGTTCAAGCCTGTGTTCTTTTTCTATTTCCCTTTTTCTGGTGGAAGAAATTTCTGTTTATGCCTCTGGTGGATGATATAGTTTCTGGAATGTCTTTTTCCAGATTTAGTCAAAGCTCCTTGCCCAATATGGGAATTATTTCATTCAGTCTAGGACTCAAATATGGTTGTCCAATGGGGGAAAAAAAAACTGCTTGAGAAATTATCTTCAGAAAGTATTAACTTGGCATGTCACTTTATTTTGAATGAACTGTTAAATCACTTGGATCAATACCTAAGATTTTGCTAGGAGGAAAACCTTGCAGTGTTACTGTGACAATCACGGAACTTCTTTCATCCTTCCAGATATTCCATTGCAGGATCAGTTGTGCTGTTCCACATCTTTTAGGCATGAAAAGGAGAACAATGAAGGTGAAGCAAATGGATAAAACTGCCAAGTAAGTTCTCATTCATACATCCTAATACAGATGCCAAGTTTTACATAACATTTTTTTCTCCCTGTTGGAGCCACTATAAAATATGTTACTCGTGCAGCTACTACTACTATCACACTTTCACCTCATATTTGGCTACCAGATTGCAATAACTAGGTGATCATATCTCTGCATTTCTATTGTGGTCTACTTAATGGGAAGTTATCATAAATTAGAAACGTACATATTTTAATTATCAGTGGCTGTTGTACAATCATAATCTGAGTGGTGGTTATTGTTCAGATCATTGAGATGATTTGTGATGGTATGCACCAAGATTTGATCTTCGTTTTTTAGGCTTGCAGGAGCAGGATTCGAAGTGCTGCTTCCTCTTGTGACGACTAGATTTACTTCCTACAGCGGCAGAGGTTGGTCTTCTTCTTCTAGGGCTCTATAATTGAAGATAAACTCAATATAAGTATCACAAAATTGTCATAATTTTTAGATACCACGCATGAATTTCCAACAGTTTCTTTTCTATTTTTTTTTTTAAAATCCTTCAAATATCCAACTTATTTTACGAATCCTATAATCTAGGCTAATGTGATAGGTGTGGCACTTTTACTCACTGCAATTCGAATTCGTTCTAGAATTTAAAGAAAATAGAATTGGCCATGTTAGAGAGTAAACACCTTCTAAATTTGCCAAAACTTAGATTCAGACTGATTGGTTTTTCTTCGTTCAAGTGGGCTATGTCGTTTTTGGATTGAATTCCATTATTTAGAGTCTCAGAATCATGTTTTCATTCTCATAGCAAGACTGTCCAATATTTTGAGATTTTGTGTTGGAGGAATAAATGAATTTGAATTATTTTGATTTTTGATTTTTGTTATTTTTTTTTTGGTAGTGATTGGGTGTCTTATTTGATTTTTTCGGTAACTTTGATAAATAATTGAATTTTGGGTTTATTTGCCCATCAACTCACTCAGGAGACATCTCTCTCAATCTCATAATCTCAACCACACAACCTAGCAAAATGAACACAGATTATTTGAAGGGACACAATCCCTTTACTAGACAATGGACACGGTTCCTTGTTAAACAAGGATTATCATTCTTTAGAGTCCAATACTTTTTTAACAAGAAATTACCTAACAAAATAAACTTTAAAATGTTTTAAAAACCAATTTGAGAAAGAGTTTTCCAACAATTTCCTTAGTCTGATAGCTTTCTTTTCCCAATTTGTTTTCCTCATACAGGTTAGGTTTAAACTATATATATATATATATATATTATGCATGTAGAGCAAGAGAATTATTCATCTGTAAGAATCTGTTCTATTCTGTCACTCCCTTCAGAGATCGTAACGAATACCCATTTGGCATGGGTTTTTTCTGTGGGATCTAAAATATTCATGATTGGAGGTACAATCTTTGAGGAGGAGGAGATGAAATTAAGCAAGGATGTCTATATCTACGATACCACCGCTACTTCCCTTACTAAAAAAATCCCAATCTTGTATGCAAGTTGGCCTATTGTAATCGGTCCTCTTCATCAGGATGGCAAATTTTATGTCTCGAATGAAACTCTCTTCCAGTGGTTTTGAGTTGTATGACCCTCAGTCGCAATCGTGGTCTCTGCTTCCACCTCCCCCATGTTCCAGCTGCAAACTATCGCGTTAAATTTGAAATTTGACGCACATGCAATTGTTGGCCATATCAACACTATTAGGACATGTTTTCGGCTTCAATTCCGTCACACAGGTATGGTCATAACTTACCAATGACATTAATGTTGATAATTATTACTTGCCTTTCATTGGTGGGGCTGAGTTTATAGATGGTGCATGGTTTGCATTCATGGACCAAGGGGATGATGGTTCCGTTTCCCTCTTTGCACTTTCGGTTTTGATGCTTCCAACAACCAATTCATCGGTGGTTCTCAGGTCAAAAATCTGCCCCCAGCGGCAGGTCTCATGCGGGTCTATCCCGCTACATTTGTGGTCCATTTGGGTAATAAGCACCTTTTTATTGTTCGGTCCGGGCTGGCCGTGACCGGAAACTCTTGGGCGATGAACCTTCCGATCATCATGTTAGGATCAACGTGTTGAACCAAAGGCTGGCCCCTTTTCTGCAGTTGATACAACATTATTTATCATACATCATGAATGAAGACAGTCAATGCTGGACTGAATTAAGGTTCATTCGTGCCTGCTTGCCCGTGTCCTCGCTTCAAAGGTAAGATGGGAGATTGACCATCTTGGCTGCATAAAAGTGTAGTAAGTAGATGGCAATTTTGCAGTGGAAAGAACATATTGTTTACTTGCTTATTCACTCATACATTATATTTATATCATATATTAAAAATTATTTATAAAAAAGAAAACTAATTTTAGCTCCCCATGCCCAGACTTAAAAAAAAAAAAAAAAAACTAAGCAACAGCCAATTTAAAAAGCATAGGTGGAATATAAAATTGATTTAAGGAGGTCACTAAGCCAATGACTACAAGTTTAGTGATCACTGCGACTATATTTTGTTAACCTGATAATAAAGTTGAAGAAATATGGGAGGAATCCACGCTATTAAAAATCAAACCATTCACTTATTGACGAGATGCTCTGAATCAGTTGCATTTGAACCCCATTTTCACGAGTAACATAAAATTTATAAAACTCTTTTTGTTTAAAAATAGAAGTAATAGTGATAAATCGTTCGAAAGTTAGTATAAAAGCAAGCATTTACATAGTTACCTCCAATTGTTTTCATTAAAAATAAATATGCTTATAATCAAAAAGTCTAAAATATTATATACAGCGTATATGCAACGAACATTAATTAAATTACATTTTTCATCCGTCAATTAAATTTGAGAGAGCAAAAAGACGAAGTAGTATATTGTTCCCTTATAGACATCAAATTACTTGTTTTACCATTTAATCAAACTTTCTTGCACGTTGATTATTTTGAGATTTTTTGTTAGAGATGTTAAATTATTTTAATTTTTGATCTCTAAAATATTTTTTTAGTTATTGGGTGTCTTATTTTATTTTTTAGGTAATTTTTATAAATAATTGAATTTTGAGTTTATTTATCCATCAACACTCTCAATCTTATAATCTCAACCCACAAGTCACAACCTAAAGTATTTACTTATAGCCATAATTGGACTATGATTATAATTACTCCTTAGAATTCAAAACTTGTCTAACAAATAAACTCTAAAATAGAAACTAGTTTGAGAGAGTTTCCAACAATTTCCTTATTATGACAGGTTTCCAAATCAAGTTGGTTTCCTCAAACCATTATCACTATATATATATGCATGTAACAATTATTTGTTCTCTTCAGTCACTCACTCCCTCCCTTATATACTTGTACCGTCGTCGGCCGAATCAGAAAAAAACTCCAACAGATAGGGTTCGGGGAGCTATGTCGAAGCGGTTTATATGATACGTGAGAATGTCGCCAGTGCCAGTCCCAGTCCGTGTCCGTTCGTTTACGACATATACAAGATCCCTGTGCCTTTGGATGATGAATCTGCTTCGTCTTCTCAACCAATGTCATCATCAACATTAAAAACCCCAGTTCTCGATCAGCTTGTCAAACAACGAATACCCGTTCGGAATGGGATTTTTCTTTGTTCTCAGTTGATTGGAGGTATATATATGAAGAGGAGACCGGATTAAGCAAGGATGCCTATATCTGGTATGCAAAGTTGGCAAGAGATATCCTCGTGCAATCGGTCCTCTCCATGGAAAATTTTATGTGTTGAGTAATAAGCCGTCCTTCCATGCTGATTTGGAGCTATGCAGTATGACCCTCAACCGCAATCATGGTCTCTGCTTCCGCCTCCCCCTGTTTCTGCTGCAGACTATTTCCGTGTTGATTTTAGTATAGTTGAACATGCAATTGTTGACCATAACATCCCTATATCAGCATCAACAAGACATGTAAACTTACGTCTTTGATTCTATCACACATGTATGGTCAAAACTAGAACATGGTGTTAATGTTGGTGGTGGTGGTGGTGGTGGTGGTTATAATTTGCGTCACTGGTGGGGCTGAGTTTGTAGATGGTGCATGGTTTGCATTCATACACCAAGGGGATTATGGTTACGGTTTCCCTCTTTATTCTTTCGGTTTTGATGCTTCCAACAACCGATTCAAGTCAGAAATCTGCCTCCACCGCCTGCTCTCCTGCATTCCGTAACCGCCACCTATGTGGTTCGTTTGGGTAATAATCGCTTTTTAATTATCCGGTCGGGCTACAACGTCGAACCCTTCACCTGCGACTATGGACGTCCCAACCATCGTGTTACTATCAATGAATGTGTTCCGTCTTCAACCAGTGGGTGGCCTTTTTTATGCAATCGATCAACATCATGAATGAAGACAGCCGATGCTTTGATGAGTTAAGGGAGATTCGTGCCCGTCTCCTCGCCCGTGCTTCAAAGCTAAGATAAGATATTATTAATGGACTTTACGCGGTATTGATAATAGGATGATTTGGCGTTACATTTTAATGAAGGTTGCACTTAAAGCCAGAAATTTCTTGGTAATTACGTGCTTGTTTGATTCATTTTTGAAAATATTTTTCTGCAATTTTATAAATAAAGTTATTATTAAGAAATTAAAAAGATTAATCTTTCAAATTGTCTTCCATTTTTGTTTCTGTCTTTCTAAAAAAAATTTAATATTTTAAGATTCTGTGCGCCTACATGAAATTGATGTTTTAAAATTAAATTTTTTTAAAAAAAATTAGTTTAATTTTAATTTTAGCACTCTAATTCCATACAACCAAACATAGTTCAAATATTTTATGATTTTATACTCTGGAATTTGCTTTTAGAAAATCAAATCAAACAATTCTCCTTATTTCGAAGAGTTTAAAAAATAAACCATGCATGTTTGTCATACAAATTTGAGTTAGGATAAGCAATGGACATTACTTTGGATCATATAATATTATAATCTCTCATTAAAAAAAAAAAATCATTGTACCTAATTCACCACTATGGAATCAAAAGCCGTTTGACTCACTCGACTTTCAACCTGGATATTTTCATATTAGCTTTCTACCTGGATAAATTTTTGCTTTGTGCTATATCTGCTTTTTAAAGTACTTAATCTACATATTATTTCCTTTTACTTGCTTATTCACATACATTATATTAAGATTTATCTTGAAAAAAACAAAACTAATTTTAGCTCCCCATGCCCAGGCTAAAAGAAACTAAGCAACAGACAATTCATTAATACTTTCACATCATATATATTTGGCAACCAGATTTCAATTTCTTTTGTGGTCTACTGAATGGGGAAGTGTTGTTACACATTAGAATGATGTGATTGGTGGTGGTCATTGTTGAGATCATTTATATGATCTGTGATGGCATGCACCAACGCTTGAATGTCCTTCGTTTCACCACTTGCACCACCACGGGTGGAAGTGCCGCCACGACTAGATTTGCTTCCTCCGGCAGCAGCAGCAGGGGTTGGTCTTCCTCTTCTAGGGCTCTACAATTCAACGTAATAAAATCAATACAAGTAAATAACAATTTGTCATCATTTTATGATACTTACCATTACCTTGCATGAATTTTCTTTTCTATTTTTTACTATTAGAAAAATCATCGTATCCAACTTATTTTACCAACCCCATATCTAGACTAATGTGATAGGGCGTGGCACTTTTAATAACTCTGCAATGAGATTTTGTTCTAAACTTAAAGAAAAATAGAATTCAACATGTTAATTAGGGTGTAACAACTTTCTAAATTTGCCAATAATTGGATTCACATTGATTGACTGAACTCTAATTATACAAGATCTATACAAGAAATTCATAGTAAAGTTGGATAATTTGTCTGAATTATGTGTGAATATATATAAACTATAAACGCCTTTGTACTAAATATATATATATATATATATATAAACACGGAGTCAACCACTAAAATTTTAATACAAATAGGTATATAATTTATAAAATATTACTTTGTGCCCCTTCTGAATATAATTTTTTCCTAAAACACCCCTGGGTATGTAATTTATAAGTTAATTACTTTGTGCTCCCCTGTAATAAAATCTTGGGTCCGTCCGCGTGTGTATATATATATATAGTCTAGACTCGTGTAAATGTAAATGTTGATTGTAAAATGCACTATATACTTAAAAGAACTTACGAAAATTACCCTTCGTCGTTTTATCTGATTAGTTCCAGCATCTACCATCTCCATGAGTCCTTCGAACTGAAAAAAGACATGAGATTCAACCTTAATCAAATTTTTTTTTTTTTTCAAATTCAAAGTAAACATGTTAATAATCAAAAGCAGAAATTATATTTTGTTTATAAGAACTACACTTCGCACTACAAAACTATAGTTAGGCACTCCACTTCGATATATAAAAACAAAAATATCCCCGAACTACCCCCAATATGCCTTCTCCTTTTTCTTTTTCCTCTATCTCAACATGTTGAAATCCTTGGGAAGATGCTCAAGAAATGGTTCTTGTGAAAGTTAATTACTCTTTTCTTTCTCTCTTATTTCACTCCTTTTTCTCTCTACGTAACAAAAAAGGAAAATCGGAGAAAGAATGGAGGGATAAATAAGGTTACGTTGGACTAAAAGAAAACCTAAGCATAGCTTTCCAACTTTGATAGCTTTTTCTCTTGAAGGAGATGTTCACTCATTGCACTTAAATTTTTTTTACATCTAATCCTAAACTTAAACAGAAAAGGCTAGTGGTTTGCCGGAATTATAAATTAGTAATTAAAAGGTGAGAGAGGACAGCGAGGATGATTCATACCTTCTACTTACCCACTGTACAGAAACCAAATAAAATAGGTAATTATGTATTTCTAAATGGTGCTGTGAAAACCGGAATGAGGTGTTGTTAGATGACCTAAAACATTAGGTTGGGGGAAGAAAAAAATAAGGCATATTAGTAAAAAAAAAAATAAAAAAAATCAAAGGGGGCAATTTTTTACGCCCCTATATAAATGTCAGTCCGTCCCTGATTAGATGGTTGGAGAATATGATGCTTCTCGTTAGATGGTTCTATTGGAGTAACTTTGAGATAGAAGAGAGAGGAAATTAAAGAAACAGAAGATGCGGAAGGTTCGCTTGACTACAATTTTGTAACGCAAATAACAGCTCCATTTGTTTATACATGTTATATATGCCATCTAAATTACATTTTTATTTATATCTTTCATATAACTTTGTGAGAGAGAAAGGAGGAACTAACTTTTTTCCCCCTTACAGACATGATATTACCTGTTTTACCATTTTATCAAACTTTCTTGCACATTGATATTGCCTTTCATCATCATCTCTTTCCATAGACATTGTCAAGCCCCCCTCCCTCTCTCCAATAAAATGAACGAAGGTAAAGCTTGTTGCGGTTAATATATATATATATATATATATATATATATATATATATATTATATATTATTGGTTGTGGTTAGATGCACGTATTTTGCATGAGAAAAGCTTGCTTTAGAGAAATTGTATCATTATATAAATATTGTCGTGCATGGCTTGACTTTTCTTTGAACCGTTACTAACGACCGACAACAAATTAAAAGACAACAAATTAAAAGAAACGGATCATCTCCTTCATAATCTCTCTGCGGTGCTTAATCCTGCAGTCCAGCAACTAAAACCGTTATACAATCATTTCTTTTTTGAATGTAATCATTGTGATAAGAGACTGTCAGTCTCAAACCTTTATATATATAGACACACACACACACACACACATCTTTCAGCTTCCATATCCCACTAACTTGCTATCTCTACAATTTAGCTTGTGTACAAAGTTGAGCTGTTAGGTACATAATCAATGGCTTAGATCCCCACTCCCTATTTTTGATGTGAATCAGACGGTCCTCATCCTATCAAGAAATGGTAACTGTACCCGAGACCTTTCTCACAAAAAAAGAGTGAGAAAGGCGTGCTCTTGAAACCTTTCTTGGGTGTTTGAAAATACTGCGTGTTGGTTATAGTTCTTTTTTTTGGTAAGTAGTTATAGTTAGCCTCACTTTAGAGCCATATTTAATAGTGCAAAACGGAAAAAAGGTGGATTCATTTCTGTTTTATTACACCCTCACTGCCTAATTGTGCATACCATGCTCGTGACTAGAGAGACACCTGGTAACAGGTATAATATCACTTGTATCAAACCCAATCATATGGTGTTTGGCAATAAAAGAGAGAATAAAGTCACTAGTAGCTTCTAGTAATCGCATCAAATCTGGAACACTAGTCCACCACCGCCTTAAGTTTGTGTAAGTCAATTTGAATTGAAAAATAAAGTAAGGTATTAGGGATAAATAAAGTCACATAAGACATAACATAAAACTGCTTGCATTTAACTTTTTTCAGACCCAAAAACAAAACCGCGTACATTTAACCTTTTCCAGATCCTGCAATGCCGGGAGCCTCATGCACTAGTCTAGCCATATATTAGAGATGAAAAAAGATACCATCTTTACCTTTTCTTGTTTGGCTAGGTAGATTGGAAAGAAAATGGATTTCACGCTTCACTGTTTAAGTAATTCAATGAGGAAGGAAAGAAAATCCAAGACAAGTTTTGCAAGGTCTTACCATCACTGATCAAGAAAAAGTGAAAAGGAACATGCCTGCAATTAATATCAAATCTATGCCACATAAAGTTTCCAATCCCATATTGCCCCTGCTGTTTGATGCATTTGATCATTTGAAGCACTTGACATCGTAAAAAAAGAACAAGAAGCAAGAAAATCTCGTAAGTAGTTTCTATGGAGAGAGTCTATAATGAGGACACTCTTATCTACAGCAGTCTGCAGAGCAAGAATGCGATAGAAATTCAGGCTACCCTAGAGTTGTTCCTACCAACAGCGGCATATGAACTTACCATGTCTTTTAGGAGAAGCAAAATGTAACTGATCCTTTGACTTCCTGGTGATATAAGTTCAAGAAAAAATAAATAATACCTACAAGCTGTAGCTCAATAGCCATCAAGAGTCATTCCCTAATAACAAGGTTGAGAATGAGAAGAAGATAATGAATAATGATGATGACAATGACAAGGAGGAAGAAAAGACTCAGATGCATCAACGGGTAAAGCAACTTTTTCAGGCAGGTGAGATTTTGAGAACGAACACCAGACAGCCTCTTTGACAAGATGGATCAGAACTCAAAACCTTCCTGATAAAGCAAAAGACTATTATGGTCACTCTTTGAAATCAGACATTTGGGGAAATCATGCTAACATGCACAAAGAACCGACCAATTCAAAGAATAATTTTCAAGAAAGAAACAAAATTCAGATTCAATGAAAATCTTGCAGAGGAACAACTATTGTACTCCAAATGGGTTATACCTCACAAACGTTTTTAGTAAATTTTCAGGCATGAGCACAGTAGGATCAATCAAGTCTGTGTTGGTGAACTGAACTACAGGAGAGACGGCAACAAAAACACTAAATGGCTGCTGATGGATCTTCTCTACCCAATTTCTATCGGGAAGCCAATGACCAAAAGTTCAAAAGAAAGCATGGAGTGGCAGCAAACCAGCAGATAAAAGCCATAGCTGTAGCTGACTCAAATCTTGCACAGTGATTCACAGAACATTTATCAAGATCATTGCCAATAAGGACCGTAATACCAGCAGATGCACAAGCAGCAGCAAATGTGAGTGTGGATGTAATCTGCAACAGGATAAAAATACTTAAAGAAGCTGGCACTTTTTGGGAAAAAACACAGCGACATGCAATGGATGATGGATGAAAAATGCACACATGCACACACCTCATTGTATTTCATAAATTTAAACAAATAGAAGAGAGCATGTACATGGGCATGCGAACGTAATTTATTACTAGTGAGGCATTCAATTGCATAAAGTTCAACCAAAAATGAAAGGATACAAGTTAAAACTTTGTTTCAAGCAATTAGGTTTTCATTTCAACAACCTAATGAAATTGAGCTCAACTTCGTTTCAAGCAATTGGGTTTTTGTTTTAATGACCTAAAATGTTTGTGGAAGGGAACTTCACAGGTGCAGATTTAGAAAATTGAAGTGCCATTCGGAAAATTTAAACCCCATTATTCCTAAAAATTTATAAATAAAACTTGGTCTGGCCAAATTTGGCAATTCTGACAACTTTTAATTATGAGCGGAAACAATAGACTTGCCAGCAACAAAAATAATACACTACGGGTATGTAAACCATTCTTACATGCAAAAAATGATACAAATATGCAACTAAAACATCTCAGCACCTACAGTTATGTTTACAGTCTAAAATATACAATAGTGGATAAGATTAATAAAACTTCATTCCATTTTTCTTTACAAATTTTTTTGAAAAATTCCTACTGATGCCTCCTATATTAATGAAAAGGTTCGACTCAATTTTCTTTTTCAGACTCATTTTCAGTCCCAATACAAAATTGGCTACAAAAAGTGACAAATAATATGCATGTGCTGACAAAAATTGCAAAATTTTACCCAATTATTCAGCAATAATAGTTTAAGTGAAAAATGGAGAGCTAGATATAAGTTAAAAGGAAGCACAGGGAGGTGAAACAGTTACAAAGATCAGAGCTGACATTTGTAAAAGAAATTCCCCATTATGAGTTAGGGAAAGTTAATGCAGTTTTATGTCATGTCACTGGTTGGGGGATACATAATTACATACTTACAGTGAACTATAATTTGGAAGTACAATCAAGACATTATATTTTTATTCAACAGCAAAAGTTCAATCATTAATTTAACAAGGTATGAGTAACCACTTGTAACCAAATGATTATAAAAAAATAGATTGTCAGAGAGTAATATCAGTCCAAGTACTAAAGAGGAGCCAACCAGATCCATGTCAACGTAGATTCTCATGCATCACTAATGCTCTGAGTTTTCAGTTTTCAAACCAAAAATTTAAGGAGATTTATCACAGAAAAAGACTTTGTCCCATCAACACAGTAACTAATTAAGGAAAGACGGTCAATTGACATGGTTTCTCCAAGAAATCAAAAATAAAATTTATACTTCATAACTAAACAACAATAATTCCACCACAGGACAGAGCTGCCTGTGGCGCAACACCACATTAGCTTTGATGAAATCTCACAAAGAACATCGTTTAGAATTGTTGGCTGAGTTGGTAATTCACACAAGAAATTTCTGGAAATAGGCTGGAAACATACTGATACTAATTATCAAGGTTTTGAACAGTTCTGACATGGCTTCTAATTGATGACAGTTCCAACATGTACCACCACAGCAGTGTAGTTTTTCTAAAATGATATAAATTCTCTTACCCCATCGCCAATTGTAAACAAACTTATAGCTCTGGAATTCCGCAAACTTCGTCTCACTAGAAGGGCATATATATCAACAATAGCCAGCGACAGACTCCACAAGCTTTGAAAGCCAACCGCTGCAACAAGGTAACTGGTGCAGCAAAAATTATTAAAAAAAAAAAAAAAAGAGTTTTATATTTCTGTCTTTTTTGAAAAATAATGCAGTAAAAAGCAAGAAAGAGCTGTGTAATTGAGGAGGGAGGAGAGGGGGGAAAGAAAAAGAAAAATGGTCAGAACTGCATATTGAACATAAACTCACAAATCAGAGTTTCCATACAACATTTTGTTTCATCATGAGAATAATACAAAAGAAGAGAAAAAAGAATAGTACCACATCACTTTGATAGCATTGTAAAGGTGTAAACAACATGGTTTCAGGTAACAGATGTTAAGGAGATCTCTTTCATCACTGGTTTAGTTTAGGTGGTTACTCAAGTGAATCGATCTTTGCTAAATTTCCTTAAATTCTCTTATTATTGTTTAGCTGCTTTTAAACTGATTTCCAAATCCAAGAATAGCATCTGAAAGGGGAAATATTATGTAAGAAGCAACAACATAATCATCGTGTTCGTCCCCCTCCAGTTCTACAACGAATACCTTGGGTCACGAAGCAAAGTCTACCCGCTTTGTGGGGGGAAGGTGGGGAGGGGGCAGAGCTCCAAGCCACTAGTTTCTACAAATATTTTTGTTACTAGTCAATGACAAACATTCAAGTTCCACTTTCTCCAAAAAGATTGAGCAAGAAAAGTTTTACAACTCTATTCAGAGTGTAAGCTTCTCCCTAAGTATGAGAGAGGGGGTGGGGAAAGTACAAGCAAAGGTCAAAAAATAATTCTTTCTACAAAATACTTATATGTTCGATAGGGAGCACTAAATGGGCGCCTTGGAAGTGGAATTGGATCCAAACATAGCTTTGGTAGTTTCCTTTCGTTTCCCTCAATTGTTTCCACAATATTTAGGAATCTATCCTTGGTATGGATCAAATCTTCCTAATGTGCATCCATACCACACTGTATAAATGCACAGATACTGTAATTGAAGTACATAAATGTTCTCAGGTTCCATTTTCATGGAAAAAGAAGGCATTAGTACCTAAATACATACACATTTCATATACACAAATATATACTCCAATGTAATTGTGTGGACAAGAGCCTTGTCATTGAAAATGTAATAGAAGAGCAAGCTATGTAAATGGAAGTGTACTGTCAGATTAAAAACCAATAAAGCAAGAATGATTGAGTTTGCTCTTACCAGAAAGCAGTGACGGAAGGGAAATCACTAGTGGTGGTCATAACAGAGAGAGAAACAAGGGCAAAGACGAATTGAGAGAGCCTTAGGGCTAGACTACCTGGAGTCCCAGGCATCCCTTGCAAGTCCTTCATCCTAAATCTCGGCGGCGCATTATGTGCTCCGTCCGTCAACGGCGGAGCCTCCACCGGATGCACCGACGGCCGGCTCACGTTCATCGCGCTCCGCCCCAAACTCCAATTTCACAGATCACTCACATTAACACACAGAATTCTGAAGCCAATTCAGTGATGAATACAGAATTTGATCGGGTTTGAAGCTCCAATTCTATCAAATCGAAGAAGTGATTGTTTGATTGAAGAGAGGGCGGAATTATTAAGCAAGGAATATTCAAGTAGGGTAGGAGGAGGCGAGTGAAAACGCAGACTACTACTTCTATTATTGTAGTAACATTTTGTCCGGCTTTCATCAATTGCGTGCCGTTTGGCTCGTTTCACCATAAGACCGTGTTTGTGTTTCACGCAACTGATTATTATTAGTTTTTTGGGACGCAAGAAGAGATAAAATTAAGTAAATTTTAATTACACGTAGCAGGCTCGTGATTGTCAAACCTGAATTCTTCAGACCTTATTCAAAACAATGTGATTTAACATTCTTCATTTTTTTAAAAATAAAACATTTTGTTATACAACAATATAGATTTTTTTTTTTTTTTTTTTTTTTCACAATGAAATTGTTATATAGTAAGTGTTGCACTCGACCAAACTTTAATTTCTTTTTAAAGAAATGATTAAATGGACAAAGTTCATTTATGAATGTATAATATGATTATGTTATTCAGACAATGAAAATAGATCCGTGAAGTGGTGTTTAATAGTAACAAATTATTATAAACTTTTTGTTTTTATAAATTAGAAGTTGTTCCTTATTGGGAAAGAAAAAAGATAAAGAAATATCAAAATTGTTTTTAATCTGATAATATCAATAGGTATAGAGTGCCGTTCCAGTTAATTGGTAATTTACACAAAAAAAAGAAAAAAGAAAAAAAAAAAAATTGTGAATGAGAGCACATTTCTATTTACAGAAACAAAAAAGAGGTGGTGGGTGATGATCTCTATAGAATAGTAAACTTGGTTCTAGCTCGTCAATTTTTATTTTTATTTTATATATATATACATATATATATTTTTCATAGTACTACTCTATGAAATGATTATTACCAAAGTAAGTCATGCTCTCTTAATTTTGTCTGATTGGTTGGCTGGTCTACCAAAGTAGATTTTGGGCACTAGTCAGCTTACTCGTCCCCCAAGCCAATCGCAGGATTCATCCGATGATTTACACTGCTCCTGCCGGGTGTTCAAAGTAGGACGCCTTCTCGGTCACAAGGATCCCCAAAAGTGGCAGCACTATGCGTTTGTTAGTAGAGAGAATGCCTAGAAATAAAATAAATTTATCAGGAATACTCTGTACAAGAAGAGGTTTGTTCAATTCATAAGTATTAGTCGTCCTCATAACTCGTCTATATGCTCATAAGACGACCACCTTCTGATCCTGGCCTCCTCGATCAACGCCATTGGTTGGACACAACGAGGGCCGTGGATACATTCTTTGATTAGCATAACAAAAACATGAAGGAATTTGTACCAAGGATAACTAAATAAATTAATAATTAAATAGATTGATACATGCCACATGGTGATGATCCCGCACAGATCATATTTATTTATCAAGTGAAGCATAAGTATCTAAGCGCATCTCTAATCTCTAAGATATTTTAAATTTATTTGAGGTATGATGTGACAAAGTACTCCAATTGATATAAAACAGAGCTGTTGCAAATGTCACGCACAATTGGAGATGCTCCACTATGATACTTTCGGGGTATTAAAGGGTATTGAATACTCATTACACTGAGGGGTTTGACAACATAGGAAAGGAAATTAACAACCATTTCCTTGGTAAAGAGCCACGATCAGATAGTAAGTTACATAATCTGACATCAATGCAGTTGCACCACCACTACCCATCATCGTCTATCAACATCCTTCCAATTACCATTACCCTGGCTCTATGTTGTTTCAAGTTTCAATACAAACAAATCAGCAAAAGCACCACAAAACACTAGCTGCACTAAAGCACAATGCAAATTAACAATCAACCTGCTTGTACATCACACCAGCTCTTTTTATAATTCCCCATATATATATATATATATTTATCAACAATTTAAACATCAATGGTACCAAAGATATTCCAAACAAAACAAAATTTTATTAGAATCTAAAGTTTGTAGAAACAAAGCACGACGTTAAGGATTTGCAGAAAGGTAGTTATGGTCCTTGAAACATAGCCATTTACCAGAAACACACAGTAACACAAGTCATTAAGAAAGCAAAAAACCATCCAACAGAAAACAACCATTGAACTAGATTCTCAGCAATCACCACCACGGAGCCGGAGGACAAGGTGGAGGGTGGACTCTTTCTGGATGTTGTAATCAGCAAGAGTGCGTCCATCCTCAAGCTGCTTGCCAGCAAAGATGAGCCTCTGCTGATCTGGGGGAATACCTTCCTTGTCTTGAATCTTTGCCTTCACATTATCAATAGTATCTGAGCTCTCCACCTCCAAAGTGATGGTCTTTCCAGTCAGGGTCTTGACAAATATCTGCATACCTCCCCTCAATCGCAGCACCAAATGCAGAGTTGACTCCTTCTGGATATTGTAGTCTGCAAGGGTCCTTCCATCCTCAAGTTGTTTACCAGCAAAGATGAGACGCTGCTGGTCTGGAGGTATACCTTCCTTGTCCTGAATCTTCGCCTTGACATTGTCAATTGTGTCTGAACTCTCAACCTCCAAAGTTATAGTCTTCCCAGTCAGGGTCTTGACAAAAATCTGCATACCTCCCCTCAACCGCAGCACTAAGTGGAGGGTTGATTCCTTCTGAATGTTGTAATCTGCAAGGGTTCGACCGTCTTCTAGTTGCTTCCCGGCAAAGATCAGCCTCTGCTGATCAGGAGGAATGCCTTCCTTGTCCTGAATCTTTGCCTTTACATTGTCAATTGTGTCCGAGCTCTCAACTTCAAGAGTAATAGTCTTGCCTGTAAGAGTCTTGACGAAGATCTGCATCCCTCCCCTCAAACGCAGAACTAAATGAAGAGTTGATTCCTTCTGGATATTGTAATCTGCAAGGGTTCGACCATCTTCTAGTTGCTTCCCAGCAAAGATCAGCCTCTGCTGATCAGGAGGAATGCCTTCCTTGTCCTGAATCTTCGCCTTTACGTTGTCAATTGTGTCCGAGCTCTCAACTTCAAGAGTAATTGTCTTGCCTGTAAGAGTCTTGACGAAGATCTGCATGCCTCCCCTCAAACGCAGCACCAAATGAAGAGTTGATTCCTTCTGGATATTGTAATCCGCCAGGGTTCGACCATCCTCAAGCTGTTTTCCAGCAAAGATCAGCCTTTGCTGATCAGGAGGAATCCCTTCCTTGTCCTGAATCTTCGCCTTTACATTGTCAATGGTGTCTGAGCTCTCAACCTCAAGAGTAATAGTCTTGCCAGTGAGGGTCTTAACGAAGATCTGCATCTGAAGATTATAGCAAATGAGAAGATCAATTAATCATATCAGTAATTATATTAGAGAAGGAGTTGCACAATGTTAGGCACCAAATTCTTATGAAATTTAAAAAGGAAAATGAGAGAAAAATAATTTGAGATGAAATGTCATTTTTTATTTTGAATAAAGAATTGAATTCTTTGTTGTGTTTGGGATATATAGGGATTGGGAAGGAGATAATTTTAAAAAATGAAAAATAATGTTAGAACTTCTAAATAAATGAAATAAGATGAACTTTTTTATATTGAATTGCAAACTGAGCATCTAATGCATAAAATATAACAATCTAGCATATAATGATTTTCGGAAAAAATAAAGAAAAAAACAGATTAAAACACACTGGAAAAAAAAAAAAAAAAGAAGAAAAAAAAAAAGACATTGCGACATCAAATTATTATATGTTAGTTCAATGTATTAGGACTCCACATAAAATAATAACATCTTAAAATCTACATAACAAGAATTATATCTTACTCCTCTTACAAAAGCAAACTCCATTGTCCATGACAATGAACTTTTATGCTAATCAACCAAGCAACCAAACAATACTTAAAGTGGATAGCGAGGGCTCGAATCTCCAAAGGAGCAAAGTTGGTGTCCCTCTTTTTCATTAAAATAAAAAATAAACAAGGACCCAACTATGGCATAATCAAGATATAACTATATACTCTGACCATTCCAGAATTGTTCTGGCGGATCCAAACAATACCAAATAACTCTGACAAAGTATTTTTTCTTTGGATAAGTAAATGCAGAAGTGTATCTTTAATGTGCTTAAAGATTAGAAAACAAAACAGAATTCAACTTCACTAATATGTGAACTGTAATTGGTCCCCGTGTATGCAATTTGAGATATTTTTGTTTGGTTATAGAAGCTCTTCCAAGCATAACTTGAAGATAATGCTTCTATGAGTGGGGTGAACTGAAATTCCATGCTTAACAAAAACAACAATAACAATAACAATAACCTTCATATCCAATCAAATCTAAAGAAGAAAAGACAATAACAAAGATAATATCGATCTACATAGAGCCTTAGATGCCTTTCTTTGAACCTTTAAATTCCAAATTTAAAGTAGAAGATGATACAAGCTCAAAAACTAGGATAGACGCCCTAGAAAGCTCATAAAATCATTTTGAAGCTATGCGATATTGAACAAAGAGTAATTTTGAAAATATCACAAAAACCAAATTTTAATCAGATTTGAAAATAGTATTCATCTTTTTCCAAACAATACTTTCGAAATCTAATCCCATATTCAATTCCATTTATAAACCATAGAATTCACAATTTAAATCCAAATCCCAACATTATAGTTTCAAAAACAACAAGAAAAGAATGACAGAAAACCAATATAATGCAGAAATCTAGTAACATATAACAAAACAATACAATATGCACTATGTAAAAACTAAGGAACTAAACAGCTTTCGAACTAATAATATATGCATTCAGTTTAAATTAAATTATATATCGCTAATCAAGTACAACAAATAATTACTTAACCCCCAAAAAATAAACAAATAATTACTTAACCCCAAAAAATAAATAAACAAAAGAGTAGATCAAATAGAAACCCTAATCAGAACTCATTATGATCGCTGTTAGAAAAGAACTGATTCTGATCTTTCCGTAATACCAAAATCAAGGAATATAGCAAACCCTAATTTCGTAGCTATTGTGTGTATATATGAATTGATTATAGGATGGCAAAATAAGGACTGACCTTGATAGGTTGGAGGGATTGAGAGCTTTCTTTCAGCAAAAGGAAGAAAACAGAACAATGAAGAGAGTCGCAGGAGAGTCCCTCTATCTATATACGGAGTAGTATATATGGTTGCCGATAGTCACGGAAATAAATAGACGCCATCCATATAAAACGACGGAATAGGAGGCTTCAAGCGTCTATACGCCGTTAGAAATTTGACCATAAAAACGGAAACTTGTGATTATGCGATATTCCATACTTTGACAAAGTCCGCAAATGAACTCCATTCCATATCTACATGGTTCAATTAGGTCTTTCGTGCCTTGAACTGTTGAATTTCTTTTTCTTCTCCTCTAAATTTCATCAAATTTTAATTAGGCTAAAAATGATCCAAAAATAAAAACCAACCTATTTTAAACCTTGCCTACTTAAAGTTGAAAAAACTCATAATATTATTACTCTTTAAATTTTACAAAATAATAATAATAAGATATATTTTAGTTCTAACATGTTATCACGTAACAAAATTGAGAACAATCCTTTACCACCAAAAAAAAAAAAAAAAAAACACCACCCTTAACCTAAACATGCATGCTTTATTTAAAAAAAAAATTAGATAACAAAATCAAATAAAATTTAAATATTTATAAAAGGATAAATTACGCTAAACATTTTAAATATTTGTCATAATTACACAGACCTCATCTTAGATTTTCAAAATGATTATGACTTCTCTTAAAATTGAAACCTAGCTTGTTACGCATACCTCTTTTTTGTACTATTGCTTTAGTCAACAACATAAATTAGTAATGCGGTGTACTTAGTATATCTAAAAGGACAATGCTTGGGTTCTCCATCTAAGAGGATGAAGTTCATCCTCCATATGGTCTAATGTCATTGGAACATGTGTCTAAAAAAAAAATTTTAATTAAAGATGGGCATTACCCATTTTTTATAGGTTAAACTGTTTTTTCTTTCTTTCTTTTTTTTCCTTTTTTTTTTTTTTTTTTTTCAATTTCTTTCCTTCTATAACACGATCATCTATCTGCATCTCTCTCTTCACGGCAAAGTAAATCTCTCTCCATCTCCATATCCATCATCTATCCGAAATCCTAGTTTGCACCCCGCATTGCTCGTCGCCACCACCTTCCTCCACTGTTTGTGGTTGCCTCCATTTTAAAACCCTAAGTGTGAGTCTTTAAAACTCCAAGTATATAGTTTTCAATAAGTGTAAAATATTTAATTTCACATGGAACACTATAATAGAAAACTATATATATATATACACTTTTAAAAACCCAAAAGTTTTAGTTAAGAACTTGGTGTATATCTAATGTATAATTTGTTTATTTATTGCTTGGTTAACAAGTATTTCTAAATTTTTTTATCTTTATTTTCATCACTTTCAATTCGATTGCTTTTGAAGTTTTATCAATTCATAGGGCAATATACCTACCAATCTAATATAAACAATCATAAATAAAAAACTAATAATAGAATTCATGCAAAACATGATAATGGTCAAAAAAAAAAAAAAATTTATTTCTTCTATAATTTCTATAGAATTTTGATTTTTTTTCTCTTTACTAAAAAGTGAATGATTGTTTTGTTTTGGAGTTGAAAATAATTATTTATTTATGGAGCAAGTTTGGACAATGAATGATCATTTATTTACTATTTTCTACAGAATTCTGAGTTTTTATTTTTTCTCTATGTTTGGTTAATTGAGATTTGCATTGCTGTGAGACCAAGAGAAGAAGAAGAAGAGAGAGAATTGCTTTTTTGTGAAGAGAGAAATGAAGATAGAGGAGAGTCCGATCCGCCCGTATCTTATCGTGTTTAAGAAGGAAAGGATAAAAAAATAATAATAATAAATAGGGTAAATTATACTCAGACCCCTGAGGTTAGGTCATTTTACATCTAGATGAAAATTTTGATTATAATTTTCACTTATATTTGAAAGAGTGGTTTTGTATTTCACTTACACCCCAAATGTTAATTTGTAATGATGTAGTACTTTTAGGTATAAATGACTATGCTACCCTTTGACCCTATTTTTGTGACCAAACTACCCCCAAACACAATTGCACTGCTTCTTTGTTTTTCCATGGAATTCTCTCTCCTCTCCTCTTCTTCCTCAACTCCACCCATCAATCCTGCGCATCCTTCACCCAAATCCCACCGGAGTAACGTGACTCACTTTATTCCATTGATGGCCACCATGAACCCATCGCCGAACTAACATCAGCGGTGGCGGCAGAATCGTCTGCTCACTACCATCATCCGAAGCCAAGATCGCCGTTGTTCAGTCCCGCCGGCCGCCATCATCTGCAAGCTCACGGCCGAACCAGTCCTCTCCACAGCCCGTCGTCCACCGCTGTGCTAGTCAGTCCCGCTTTGCCCGTAGCCGAGCTGGTTCATCTCCCCCGTTCAGCCCACTTTGCCCGCAACCAAGCTGGTTCATCTCCATCGGCCAAGCTCTCCGCAGCCGAGCTGGTACATCTTTGCTGGCCACTGTTCCGAAGCTCCACGCTGTCGCTTTTATCTGAGTGCCCGTCCTCTCCATCTGCAACCGAGCTTTCTTTTTAACTCATACACCCATTTAGTTTGCTGTTGAATCTGAGTTTGGATGACGACAACAAGGTAGGCTTAGTGGCGGATGGGGCAATTGGCAGTATTGTTGGCGTATTGCACAGTGGATCCACTGATTGCATAGCGGTGGCAGCTAGGTTTGTGTTTGGTTTGGAGAGAATGGTGTATGTTAGATGCAGAGAGGGGTAGTTTTTTTCTTTTAGAATTATATATATATATATATATTTTATATTAAATTGTATTAAAAAATTAAGGATAAAATGGTCAATTCACATGTATCAGAGCCCAAAAAGCAAATTGAGGTGTAAGTGAAAGTTAAAACTAAAATCTTCATATAGGTGAAAAATGACCTAATCTCAAGGGGTTTGAGTGTAATTTACCCAAAAATAAATGGTTTAACCTGTAAAGAATGGGTAATGCCCAATAAGTTCCGCAAACGCAAATTCCGCATCTTTAATTTCTTTTTAAGTTTTTAGACATATGTTTCAATAACATTGGACCACATCAGATGGAGGATCAACTTCATCTTCCTAGATAGAGAACCCAAGCATTGTCCTATCTAAAATTTGAATAATACTTGCATCCTGCGGAGGGAGGAAGCTTCATCCTCCCCAATAAGGTGGCCCAATGATGTGCTGACAAGTGTCCAACATTAAATATTAAAACTGAGATGGGCAATGCCCCTTTTTGCGGGTTCAACCCGAACTCGCTGGTTTAGTCACTTCCTTGAGTTCTCGCTGCTTCACCGCCTTCATTGCCGCCTAGCTCTCTGCTATCACCGCTTCCTCGCGTGGCCATCTTTCTTGCTCATCACCGTCGAATCTCGTTGGAAAGTTTAGCAACCGGAACACTTCCTCCATCGTCGTCGATTCTTCATTGCTTACGACCGATTCAGGTGCCCACCGCCTTGCAACGTCGCTAATCTATCGCTAAGGTCTCCATCTTTCCCACGGCATCCACCATCGCCGTTGTGTCCTGTAACCTCCTCCATTGTCGTAGTGCTGTCTGGGTCCCACCGTTCAATTTCTGGCCCGTTCAATCTCGTTGCCGGTATACGTGCTATTTTAGCTCTCGATTTTGGGTATTTTGTTTATTGGGCTTTACAACAGTGATACACATATATATAGGGGTTCCTCTTGGTCCAATTGGGTTCGCCATAAGTGTGATTGGCTTTGTCGTGGGTTAGATTGGGTGGTGATAGGCAAAAAAAAAAGATTGGGTGGTGATGATGGTGATAGAAGTGATGGTGGTGGTGATATCTATATGCACACACATACACACACACATATAATATATATGATTCTATGGGTGGAAGGTGGTGGTGTGGCTGGCACTGATGGTGGTTGGTGGCAATGGAGAGGAAAGTGAAAATTGGTTTGAGCGAGAGAGAAGAGACTAACAAGGATAAAAGGAAAACGGGTTAAACCCATAAAAATGGGCATTGCCCATCTCAACTTTAATATTTATTGTTGGAAACTTGTCAGCGCGTCACTGGGCTACGTCATTGGGGATGATGAACCATCCTCCCTCTCAGGATACAAGTATTATTCCTAAAATATTAATACAGCTTTTAATTGAATTGAAAGACATTTTGAATGTGTAAAGTAACATGGAATGACAAATCGGACCTCATCCCTTCCAATATAGCCTTAGATGGTCCGAAATTCAATCCATTATCATCTTTCAGATCATTTTTAGATCTGATTGGGATAGATGACATATTGGCAATTAATAAAATTTAAAATTCATGTAACCTTTCAACAAAAAATAGAAATAAAATTAAAAAACTTTTAACATTCATATGCATATACACACGTGACAAACATATATAAAAATATATACATATACAGTTGTTGTATTTAGAGATTGGGTTTGTTAAATATAAACCATTCACAACGGCTCCAGATTTGGTGAAGCAAAAATGAGAAAAATGAAGATTAGGCTCCAGATTTGCTGAGAAAAAACAACGGAGACCACCAAGTGAGACGAGCAGCAACGGGAGTGACACAAAGGTTAGGCCATCATCAAGGCAACAGCTTCAAAGTTACATCTACAAGGCGCCTTCGACAGATAAAAAAACCACCCAAACCCTGCACAAGTGGGAGACCACAAAAATCGACATAGATCTGAGATATAGCCGGAGAAAGAACAACAGATCCATCCAGTCTAGCTGGAAACAAACCAAACAGGAGCAAATCTAGCAAAATAAAAGCAAAAACAGCGTGAAAACCACCAACAGAACGTACTTATTATTACATGCCGATTTTATTTAGCCTATGGGAGGCAAGAAACATCAACTCCCCACTCCCATAGAAGGGAGCAGGGAGAAAACCAGATGGGTAAGGCGAAGTGGGAAGCGGTTGAAATGGTAGGTCGGTGGAGGTTTCTAGAGAGAGAAAGGCGTAATTCACACACACACACACACATATATATATACACACACACATATTGATGGACTTGAAACTTGACCATCTCCAAATACATATATACATAGTTACACACACAAATACATATTTATTTGTATTTAGGTTTTAAAGAGAGAAACGTTCAATGGTTTGTTGAATCCACTTAGTCGCTGTTATACGCAGAATAACCATAAAGTTGATCTAAACAATTACTATTTATCATATATTTACAAGAATATATAGCATATTTCATTTGGTGTTGTATTATTATAAAGGGTAAAGTTTACAAAACACCATCATAGTTCTAATTTTGTGTGGATTACACCCCTATAATTTATTTTGTGTATCTAAATCCCCAATAGGTATTACATTGTTGCAACTAACCACCTCCGATCAAAATTCTGGTAAATAATGGTCGTTAAAACCTTAAAATCTAAGATTACCCTTTTTATATTCCACAAATGCCCCTCACCATATTATATATATATATATATATATATATATATATACACACACACACACACACACACACACATATGGTCCATGAATTCCGGCAGGTTTGCATAATGAAAACATATATTTTTTACAGAATCAAACGATAACATGAAACAACTAGGGAGATACATTAGTTGGTAATTTTCATCAACAAAACACTGATACATTATTAAATTTTTATTCACTGGTATATCAATGGACTCTGATCAGTGGCAAGCAAGGATTGTACTGCCGGCGAGCTAAGGACAGAAAAAGGATTGTACTGTCGGCGAGAAAAGGAAGTGCTCGGTGAAGACAGCGTTATGAACCAGAGATAAAGTGAACTGAAACGACAAAGATTTTTCTTGCCTGCGGTGAAATGGGTCTGGCTTTCCCAGCGAGCTATGAACTGGCATGGTAAGCTATGGGCAAGGAACTCTGGCGACGAGGGAGCTCGAGACGACTATGACAAATATGTCTGTTGGCTGCAGGTTTATTGTTCAGTTTTGTTTCGACGACCTCTACATTTTTATTTATTTATTTATTTATTTTGAAACAGAGAGCTTTGTAGTTTGGTTGGGAAAGATGAAATGCTCTTCAGTATTTAAAAAAATTAAATTAGAAGGGACAAAAATGAAAAGAGCAGATTTTTTTTCTTAAAATTAAAGCCACGAGCACAACGGTGAGGATGAAGTCCAACGGCAATTAGGGGCGGAACCAGGATTCAATGTAAAGGGGGGCCATAGTATTAAAAGTTTTACCAATATGATATAGTAATATTTTAAGTCAAAAGTACTTTATGATTGATTAGCTGCATACAAAAATATATCTAGCAAGAATTTGGCTAATTTATTTACAAAACAATAATTGGCCTATATCTAGTCAAATATGACATAGATATATACAATAAGAAACCTGAAAGACCAAACAACTACTACAAAAGCTGAGCTCGACGATCTTTTAGAGAAGAAAAATCATCTATAATTGAATCTGCATTTAAAGTCTGAGCAATTTCTTTTCAATATTGACGCTCAAGTAATCTGCAAGAAACTCATCCTCCATCCTGTTGCACAGTTGTGTTTTGACAAGTTTCATAGATGAAAATGCCCTTTCTGTAGTTGCAGTGGAAATGGGAAGAGTCAAGACAAAACGAATCAACCTATCAATCAAAAAGTAGATTTTTGACTTCTCTGTTTCTACTAATCCTCTACATAGCTCAGAAATTGTTAATATATTTTTCAAATGTGAATGAGTAAGCACTTCAACCTTATAATGTTGCAATTGGAATGTCAAAATAATCCTCTCTTGGTCTGTGAAATCTTGAGGATAAAATTCATCTACAAGCATGCAAATGTCTTCAACGTTAAACAACTTGTAACCATCTCTAGGATCTAAAGCTGAGCTGAGAGTAACAAGTTTCATTACCTTTTTCACTAAACCTGTTATTTAACTCCTACAATTAAGAATCAATTGTGCCATAAAATATATCAATCAGATAGTGGTGCTCAAATGTAATATTCTCTTGTGGGTGACGTGACTGGCCTTAATTTTTATTAGTATAAGGAACACTCAAATCAAGCACATCAATGTTGTGGCGCTCACAAAACGATTTAACAGTATCAAGTAAGTTGTTCCAACCATTTTCTCTCAATTTCAGAATGATTTGTTTTGTACTCGAAACCAATTGCAGAACATTTACGATGTCTTGAGATTTTTGTTGCAAAGCTTGACAAAGGATATTAGTTATTCCCATGATATCTTTTATCAAATGCAAAATAAACACAAACTGAAATGATCTAAAAGTATTAAAAGCAGTATCAGCAGCTCCCCGACTCTTGTAATTACTTTCATCTTCAATGATGTTTTCAAGAACTGAACATGTTGGTGGACCAAATAACCTTATCAAACTACAAACAAAATCAAAATGGGAGCTCCAATGAGTATCTCTAGGTCGTTGCAAGGTACCAATCTGATTAGCTACTCGGCCGATTTCAAGTTCATTAAGATCTATCAAATGGGCAATTTCCATAACTTGAGCAGAATGTAGTGCATCAGTTTGTTTACAAGAAGCTCCAATGCTATTGATAATGAAGTTCAAATTTGAAAAGAATTAATGGACGGCAATTACTTCTCTAGATGCGTTAACTAATGTTAGTTGTAGTCGGTGAGTTAAGCAATGCACATAATATGCATAAGGACAATCATTAAGAAATAATGCTTTTAAACCATTCCATTCCCCACGTATATTGCTAGCACCATCATAACCTTGACCTCAGAGATTATGAACATCAAGATTATAGTGAGAAAGAACCACACAAAGATCTTTTTTTAAATTCAATGAAGTTATATTTTTGACATGCACAAGATCAAAGAAACGTTCTTGTAAAAAACCATCCTTATCAATGTATCTTAAAACAAAAGCCATTTGCTTTCTTTTAGATTCATCACGAGCTTCATCAACAAGAATACAAAACTTGGCATCGCCGATATCTTCACGATCTCACTCTTGTAGAAAAAATATGCAAAATCTCCTTTTGCATTTGTGGTTAGGTATACTTGGCATTCTTTGGAGCATTTTCAAGAACAATTTTAGCGACATCATCATTATATGACGCAAAAGCCTTTACCATTTCAATGAAATTGCCTCGATTACTCGATTGAAGGGATTCATCATGCCCTCTAAAAGCACAAGCTTGATAAGTAAGCCATCGGACCGTATCAATTGTGACCTTCAATCTTAATCGGTTATTTGAAATTTGTTCGGAAGTTTGTCTATCCATCACTATATCAATATGACAAGGTTGATTCATTAAGTCCTTACATGCTTTCTCAGCAATGTTATAAGCAGAACATGAACTTCCTCCCATATGATTTAAAAAAGCACATTTATTGCCATCATTAACTTTCTTCCAACTTCGAAATCCTTGACTAGTGAATGCATTGGTCCCAGGACGCCCCGTTGGTTTTGCTCCAAAAAGAAAGCAAGGTGAGCAAAATGCAGCATTCTTTTAAAGAGAATACTTTAACCAAGTAGGAAATAATTTAAACCAAGATGATTGAAATCGACGAGGATGCTTTTCCTATTCAGAAAGCGGATATTCTGAAAGAGAAATTTGGTATGCTTTCGCTTTGATGTAAGCTCGTCGAACTTCATCATGTTTGTCAACAGGATAATCCCACATTTGACGACGTAATCCTGGATCACGTTCTAAATAGGTAGGATCAACTTTTATATGTTTAACTCTTGGAGATTTTGGAGGACACTGGTTATCATGAACCGAAACATTAACATTGGAGGCGGAAGCCGCAGAAAGCACATCATTTTTTTTTAAAAAAAAAAACGTCAATAGTTTTTTTTGGCTTCACCATCGTATAACACTGTACCTAAAGAGGGTAATTCAAATATAAACTTTTAAAACCTAGGGTTTTTCATTGTAATTTAAACTATTGATCCTAAATTCTTAATAAGCATAATTGAGTAAAAATAATATTGCACCCTTATTTAAACTATCGATCCTAAATTCCTAATAAACATAATTGAGTAAAAATAATATTGCGCCCTCATTGCATATAAAACAATTAATTGAAAATATAAAAAAGTTATCACTCACAATTGTGCGCCTGTGCAATGTATAAAAAATAAATTGTGCCTATGCAGTGTATAAAAAATAAATTGTGTCTGTGCAGAGTGTACAAAATAAATTGTGTATTAAAATTTCATTGATTCAGGTTTAGAGAAGAAATTCATTTTGGTTACAATTAAAATTTCAATCACACATAACATTGTACATAGATATGTGCGTCTAACACAAGAATAAATTAATAAAAAAATAATTGATATTCCAACTATGAAAAAGTAAACTGAAAAGAACAGGGGCTATAGTCTATAGATACATACTCCAATCTCTATGATTCTATGAAAAAAGGAAACTGAAAAGAACAGGGCTATAGAATAGATATAGCACAATAAACTAAACAAGCAAATATACATACACAATAATGGAAAAGGGGAAATTAAATTAATGGGTAAAAGAGAGAATTGAGAAGGGTTACCGAATGTCACTGTCAGTATGTGGAATAGCTCTTCTCCACCACCGTGCCTTCAACTTCGCCGAAATTGGGTCACCATCAACACTATTTCGTCGAGCATCACTGATTGTTGGCGCCTTGGTGGAATTGTAAATCCTTGCTCATGGTTCACAGGTCAGTCACGCTACTCCCTGTTGCTGCGTCGTTGTTAGAATCCTCTCTGCTGTCCTTGGGACCGTAGGTCTTCTCACCATCAACTCCGTTCGCTCAGAGATGTTAGGCATCTGCCGCATGTGGATATAGAAGTTAGTTTACCGGTGTTCCCTCTCGTCGGCATGTGCCCTAATATGCTAATTGCTGAATGAATGGGGGGCGTACACTAATAAACTAATATATTTTTATTTTTTTATGTACACTAATAATTTTTATTTTTTTAGGGGGGTCTATGGCCCTGCTGGCCCCCCTCTCCCTCTGCCCCTGATGGCAATGAACTTACCGGCGCACATATTAATTGATTTCATTTAATGTGTATATACATATATATAATAATCATATGTTTTTGCCATTTTTTCCGATTAATGGAATTATGGGTCGCCGGAGTTGGGTATGTGAAATGGGTCTATTTTGGTGTTAGAGATAGGGGTATTAAAGTAAATTCACATCTTTGGTACCGGTAAATGAACCAAAGGGGCTAATTCGCACCCATTTTTAACAAGAGGGGTGGTTAACAAACATAAGGAGGTTATACACACAATATAGATATTGGAGGGGGTTTTCCGCACGTGACCCTATTATAAATAAATAAATATATAAGAAGAAGAAAAAAAAAATGGTTAAGTGCAGAAAAACCCCCTGTAATATAAGTTTTGTGCATAAATAGTCCCTCATTTTTTAAAATATGCATTTCAGTCCATAAAATTCAAAAAATGTGCAAATAAGCCCATTTGACCACTTTTTGACAAAAAGTAAGCATGAAAACCCGATTTTACCCTTATTGTTCCCATTTTGCCCCTAAAGAAGACTCATGGCTTTTCTTACTCTTCCTCACCATGCCCGCCTCAAGAAAGTTTATTAATGTTTCATTGATGGGCTGTGTGATTAGTTATCAAATTTGCTAACTGTCATCATATTTCTATGCATGAAGTGTTTGTCATTACATATGTTATACAAATAATATATATTTCAAACCTATAAGCATTCTCATTCATAATCTGCACTATATGCATATCCATATATTTGTTCTCTACTTAATTTTACCTTAATTATTGATTTAGTAAAATATGTTCGATTATCTAATCAAATTAACTCCAAAATCTTAGGCTCATTTGGTTAGACAAAAATTAATAGTGAAAAGTAAGAGTGAAAGAAAGTGATGTAAATGAAAAGAAATCCATTTTTTTTTCGTATTTTTTGTTGATTTTTTTTTTCTTCTTAAAAGTTAGATAGTTATGTAAAATAATTTTCTCTCAAAATTCTTTTTTTATTACTTACTGATAAGCGCCGAATATTGCATATTCAAGCGTTCTTAATTGCATTAGTTAAGTCCATTGTTTGCTTATATTATGTAGATTATTTTCATTTGCATGTTTTTGTATATTTTCAGGTCCCTTGGCCAAAAAGGAGCAAGAGTGATGTTTTGACAAAGTCTTGAATATCAAAGTGCTAATGCTGAATTTCTGGCAACAGTGGATCCTGGACTTTGCTCGCCATTTTGACTTTGAAAACTTAAGAACTGGACTTCCATCATAGCATGACATATTTAGAGCTCTGAATCAGCTTTCCAAATCTTCAAGTGGTTCGTCATTCGGAGTTCGGAGCAGAGAGTTATGATCTTCTTATCATAGGTGCTCAGAACTGCCTGGCAGCAATGAATTTCTGCCTTGCTCTTCAATTTCGACCAACCAGACTTGAGAATTGGATCTCCACTAAAACATAAAGTTTTTAGAGTTCTGAATTAGCTTTCCAAATCTTCAAACGGTTCATCATTCGGAGTTCGGAACACAAAAGTTATGGCCATTTTACCAAAGTAGGTCCGGGCGGAGCAAGGCAAGAATAGAGCATTCTGCTCCAATTTCGAGTGCTCGAGCCCTTATTTCGAGTGCTCGAAATTAGGGCAGAATTGCATCCGGAAATGGCCCATTTTCAGCCACTTGCATCTTGGGTTCCTCAATTCTAATTTCCCTCTTTAATGGTTGGTTGGAGATGTTGGTTGGTGGGGGTTTTTAGAGGCTTATCTCTAGAAGATAAGAGAGGAAGGCCACACATATGATTAAGCTTGATTTTGGGAAGATAGAGGGGAGAGAAGAGAGCAAGGAAGAGGGGGTTCTTGGAGCAAAAAGAAGGGAGCTCGAAAATGGAAGGAGGATCCATGCTTCCTCCTTCATCTAGGGCCACCATGGGTAACTAAACCCTCTTCTAGGGAGGTGATGAAACTCCTTCTTGTAAGCATGTCTTGTTTTTTATTTACATTTGGGGATGTAATGTATATATATGACCTCTCCATGAACTAGAGCTTTATTTGATGTGAAGAGCTTCAATGTCTATTAATGATCATTTTGAGTTTAAGATCTTGTCTTAAGATTGTTTCCTCTTATGATTATTTTGCTTCCATTTTCATAGTGACAATGAAGATGAGTTTATGGAAATGTTTTTATTGGCATGATGCTTGGGAAATTTGATAGTCTATAGCTTAGGGTTCTCTTTTGATAGATTATTCTTGATTCCTAATGTCATGTGCTTCTACTATGTGATTAAGGGCTTGATAACTCTATGCTTAGTGAGTATGTCTAAGGTTGCAACCTAGTTTAGGTAACCAAAACATGCAATACTTTGATAAGTTATTCTTGCCTATTGATTTCATAAAAAATTCTTGAAGGTAATGTAGCAATTTTATGTTGTTACATTTCATGGTTATGTGTATATATTATTCCCCAAGTAAATCATGTATTAACATGTTTATGGATAGGTAGTGGATTCACTTCCCTAGCCCTCTCTACCTAGATCTCCTTCCTTTACATTTCTTGCATTCTTGTTTTATGCATCTTTACATTCCTAGCTTTAGTGACAAACCAAACAAACATTCTATACCCCTTCATCATCTTAAGAATGACTCTAGACGCTTAGGTTGCCATAGACTAGCGCAGTCCCAGTGATTCGACTTACCCGACCAATAGCCCTATTTTACAATGATTCGTGTTATTGCGAAGAGGGTTGATTTATAATTGATTTCGACCGTCGATCACTTACCAAAAATTTAAAGTGCTTAATTTTTTAAAACTAATTAGGAAATTTATGCACGGCATTGGTTAACAATACGCCCTTCTAACTATTCAAAAAAATAAAAAATAATATGCCCTTCACATAATATTATGTATGTCAAAGATTAAGATAATTGGAAATTTATAACTATCTCATCAATCAATATCAAATTTTGACTTGGTGTTTTGTTTTGATTATACTTGACATGGATGATGATATGATAAAGGTATATATGATCCAACCTTTACAATGAAAAAAGAAAAATTATACTACTAATAATATATGTTAAGGAATATAAAAATAAGTACTTTTTTCACCAAGTATGGGTCGACTCTGTTTATAATATTTTTGTAACCACTCTTTGTTATAATATTGGTGCATCAGATTTCATATGTTTAATGTTTTTCTTATCATGCCTTTTGCAATGAGAATTTTACAAAAATTTAATTGAAATCTTTACCAAAATCAAGTATTATTTTATTCTTATCTCAAACAAACCAAATCCTACACAAATTGAACAAAATGGTCATTTTACATGGCCTGTATTTATACTTATAAATTTGTTTTACTGAAATGAGGG